CAAAAAAAAAAAACCAAAAACCAAACCCACCCCAACCTTCTCACCGGGCTCTTAACAAAACCCCGATGCAACAAACACCGTGTCTGGGAGAATAAATTAATCCCTCTTTAAACAGCCTGACTCAGGGGCCGGGTGACGAGGGAGCTTGTTTTCTTTTAAAATAGGACGCGAGCGGGCCGGATTTCTGTAAAAACTGGCCAAATGCTAACGGTAACAGGGAGGAATAGGGACCGTGGAGCGTGCAACCCCTCCCTTTGCCAACTGAGTCACAATTTTCCCCCCTTCTGTCTGCGAAAGACCGACTTAAAAACACCGCTGTTTATGTAATTCCGAAGAAAATCCAGTGTACCAAAAAAACCCCTAAAAAAAAAAAAAAAATCCTCCCCTGGCTTTTGTGAGCCGAGCCCTTTCACGCCGGATTGTTTTCTGATGCCTCCTGCTCTTTTTTGAGCTTGGAAACATAAAATGTGTAATTGCAGCAGCAGCAGCCAAAAAAAAAAAAAAAAAAGCAAGCCCCGCACATCACCTTTCTCAAGGTAAAATAATCCTCTTTGCACATTCCCGGCGGCGGTCATTCGCTTACTCACTGTCCTCCTCGGAATTAAACCCAAACCCAACCCGTGACACGAGTTTGAAAACCTGAGTTGAATGAATAAATCCGCCAAGAGCGAGCACCATTCCTTTAGAGAGGAAAAATTATTCCCTTGCAAGTACCGAGGGATGAGTCACTCGCTCGGGTGCTCTGCCTCCAAAAACACGCTGGGAATGTTCCGGGGAGCCGGTACCAGGAGCTGGGCACTGGGTTTTCCGCCTTTTTGTGATGAATGTGGGTGATGCCATCGAGTTTGGCTGAGGTCTTGTGAATTATTTCTCACTCTAGTGGGCAGTTGTGATTCGCACGTAGGAAACTTCACGCTAAGAAGTTAATCTCCTTAGTTTAGGGCCATCTCTCTCCGAGTTGGGGCTGTTTTATCGCTTTTCTGCCTCCCAGGCTCACAGATGAGCGTTTTCGAGGGGAAATTATTCGTAGGCTGGCAGTATGGTATTGCAGCAACCTCTGTAAGAAATGCCAAGTAATACTTTCAAGTACGTGTCCAGCTTCTTGCTGCTCGTCTTTATTTTTTTTGAAGGGTACTGTATTTTGAAATAGCGATGTCACACTTTGATTTAGGAGTAGGCTTTGCTGCTTTTAATTAAGGAGTCAGCAGTTCACTTTCCTAAAGGACATAGCTATGTGCGACTTGGAAGCATCTTCATAAAACTGTGACGTGGAAATTTTCCGCTTCCCCCCCCCCCCCCCCAAATAATAAAGCTTTAAGACCTCATAATAAATGCTGAATATTGTTTCTTGAGTCATTTTGTTAAAACCAACGATTTAGGGTGCGAGCATCCTAATGCACCCAGCAGAAAGCACTGTTAAGATACTCCTGATGTGACTTAAGTTTTTCTTCTTCCCATTCTCACCAACAGCATGTCAGCCAAGATCCAACTGATAAGTTAAAAGTAGTAACAAAAAGTGGATTTAAAAGCCCCCCTCGGTCCCCCTCCCCAGTTAAATAACAAATGCAAGTGACTGAATACACATGCTTGTTCTTCGTGGGGGAAGTTTTACCAAGTGTGTATTTCAGCTGTGACAGGATTTCTAAGGGACAGTTTAATACGCGGTGTGTAAAGTTGTAATTTTTAGCAAAATGTTTTTAGAGGAGGTTTCAATGTCTTAATTTTTAGTTTTGCTAGCAATGAGATGTGTGACTGTAAATTGCTCTTTCCAAATAAAGTTGTTTGATTGATTGTGTTTAGGTGGCATTTTAATGAATTGTATCTCTTTTTAAAGAAACAATTGTGATACTGAATAAGCAGTTCTTGTTTGGATCTTGCTAGTCCCTGAAATGCATATTTTGAAAACCACTTTTAGTTATCTGCTCAGAAAGTGAAAGTTGTGTCTTTTAATGTGAGGAGGAATCATCCATCAAACAGAGTGTTCAAGATATGACTCATGCTAATTTGTTGCTCTCACATTAAGGCTGGAGCGCAAAAATATTTTAGCCTGTGGCATTGGAAGTTCACGGTGCCACATCCTACCACTTCAGGTCATGAATTAGGCTTTTTTTGTTTACTGCCCCCCAGGAAAGAAAAAAATTAGTGCTAGAACGAGGGTATTTTGCACAAGAGCCTGTCCCAGGCGATCGAAATATCACAAAAATGTTGACTTGACATTAATGCTAGGTCAAGTAAAACCGTGGTCTGTGCCTGAATAAAAATGACTTGCGAGAGGCGTGCAGCAGGTGCTGTCTTCCCTTCCCGAACAGCGAGTTAAAAAAAAATACTGCCTGATCCTTTTTTAAAAGGCTTTAATACAGGCAGTCCTTGGAAACTGAGGAATACTGCTTGTTGCAAAGAGGGGTTGTTAGAAAGACAGCGCTGCTAATAACACTGGCTATCTGGGAACCAAGATAAGCAGACTTACATAAGCAGCAGCTTCATAGCCTGTAGCCTTATGAATATACATTGTTTTATGTCCACCGTCTCTGTCGGTTTCGTAGGAATAAGTGCATCATTACCTTGAAGTGCTGACGATTCTTTAAGGCTTAAAAATATCCATAAACTGCATAAGTTTGAACCTTGTCCAAAGGATTTGGGCTCTCTATTATCCGATCTGCTAGCTCTGCCTTTGAAACTGTATCTCTGGAGCTATCCTTAGGTGCTCTTAAGTGTCTTCTGATGCAGTTTAACAACACTGTTCAATGCTTATTTAAAGTTGGCTGTAAAACATTTCAGTATTTTTTAAAATTAAAATTGTATTTAAGTACACAACTTGCTCAATATTGTACTTTCAATGTGTGTTGTACATACTCTATTCTTTTTATGCAATGTAGATGTCTCGATGGCTTTTTAACAACACAGAAAATAAATGGTTGAAAATCCACAATTGTCACTGAAGTCAGGCAAAAGTTTAATGGAGGCGCTGGAGCTTGTGCCGTGCGTAGCCTCCAGGAGAGTTCTGCGTTCGACTCTTCAGCAATCGCTTCTGCAAACCAGCCCCTTAGGCTGTTGTTTGAGGTGGCTGCTGTGGCCAGGCGCAGTGTGGTAATGCTCAGCCTACCTGTTGCCTCCCAAGCTTCGGCACAAATGGGACATTAAATGCAGATAAAAACGGACAGGATGGCCCGGCTCCTAACGATTCCCGCAAGTTTTGTCTCCTGTTATCATACTGAATCCGGGCTTTCTCCCGTGAACTGTTTTCCTGTCAGATAGGCTTGCAGTGTTAGGGAGCACGTATTCATACCCACGTGGGTTAGTGTTTGTATCCACCGGTGGCTTTTATCCAAAGATCACCGGCATCGCGCTCCTGAGAAACGAGTGGCTAAAGTGATGCAGGGCTTGTGCGGTGGCAGGAGGAGGCGGGAGCTCCCCTGCAGCCAAGGAAGAGTTGCACCGAGGTGGCCGTAGTCGGGAGAGGCTGTGGTTGGGAGAGGCAAAGCGGCTGGAGCTTGGATGCAACTAAGAAAAAGTCCCCAAGTGAGCTTCTAGAAATACTGACTTCTCCAAAGGACATGATGAAATGGATTCACATAGGAAGAGTATTAGCCTGAGCGTGCTTCGTAACGCTGTCCGTCCTCAGCCGGCATAAAAGTAGACAGGTTGGGGGTTGCGAGCCAGCACAGTGTTTTATTCAGCTCTCGCAGCCTTGAGTCGTATTCCTTTGTGAAGGAAACCGTAGGGAAGAAGTCCTGGGAGGCTGCTGTACCAATCTAATGGGAATGCAAGTTTCCCCAAACTCAGCTTCAGACCTGGCACGCTGCGCTAATAACGAGACTGATTTAAAACTGGTGTGATGAGACTGAGGCACATCTTGAATACAGATGCGCTTAAACTGGCTTAAGGTGCTAGAGTGATTTATTTTAATGCTCCATTAGGCTGAATTGGTCTGTGTGGTTTCTAAACCACTTTAAAATTGTATCTGCTAGGGTTTTGTCCCAGTCTGACTGGATGACTTTTAATAACAGTGTTTTCTGCCTTAGAATAAACAGCGCCTAATACAAGCATGGTGTAGAACAGCCCGTAGCAGCGCAGGCTGCAGCTCAGCTGAGCGGTGCTTGCTGCAGCACGCTTTGGGGGGGGGGGTGTCCCGCTCTGCCTCTTCCCTTTAGCTTCTCCCACTGATTCTGTAGTTCAGAGTCAGTTGGTACTGGCAGTTTGGAAACAGCTTTTAGGTCTTTTTTTTCAACAACCCCCCCCTCCCCCCCAAACTGTGTTCTCCAGCATCTCTAGATGTCTGCCAGTGCTTATCGATTAGCTTCTCTTCCTATTGCAAAGCAGCTGCTGATGAAGAGAAAAAGAACATGTTGCTATTCTTACTAGTTTCCAGATGCAAAGAGCACGGTGGTCAGTATATAAATGCGGCAGGAACCTGCTAAATGTAGAAATGTGGCTTTAGACAGCTCTCAATGCAAGTTGCTTTGGTTTCAGTGCTAACACACTGATGTGAACACATTGTTTGAATAAGATGCCTTATCGCATCCTGGCTCTCTGTGGCCGCAGTTGAATTCTCAACATGCACTAAGCTCGGCTTAAAGGTGGGGCGTTATTTTGCAGCTCCCATCAGTACATTCATATGCTCCAAAGATAGTCCCAAGGTGGCATCTGATATGATCGTTAGCAAAACAAGTTATCTGTTATGTAAAGATCAAACGCTGTGTTAGTAAAAGATCTGACAAGCACCTAGTTGTTTTCCATAAGAAGTGTTGCCCTCCGGAAACTTAATAATTATTTGATTGTTATGATGTGTGCCTTCCTACATTTACCACAGAATCTGCACAGCGAATGCGTTTAAAGTGCGAGCGGTTTATCTTGTCCAAAACCAAAATTATGTAACCTTTTCCAGTTGTTACTTCAATGGCTTTTGGTCTAGAATGTGCTTTCCTGTAGTTTGTAAATGTTCTCACCGCGTCAGAGTGAGCACCCATCAATAGAATTTAAGTGTGAATGTTTGGTTTTAGGCACACGAAGCCTCACATCACCAACAGCAGGCAGCACAGAACAGTTTGTTGCCTCTCCTGAGCTCTGCTGTTGAGCCACCCGATCAGAAGCCGATTCTGCCCTTACCAATAACGCAGAAACCTCAGCCTGCACCAGAAACATTAAAGGATGCTATTGTTGGGATTAAAAAGGAAAAACCTAAAACCTCCTTTGTGTGCACTTACTGCAGCAAAGCTTTCAGGGACAGCTACCATTTGAGGCGTCACGAGTCCTGCCACACAGGGATAAAGTTAGTGTCACGGCCAAAGAAAACTCCCACCACAATGGTGCCCCTTATCTCGACCATCGCTGGTGACAACAGCCGAAGTTCATTGGTTTCGACTATCGCAGGCATCCTGTCCACAGTCACTACGTCTTCCTCTGCCACCAACCCCAGCAGTAGTGCCGGCGCAACGCCTATGGCAGTGACTCAGACGGTGAAGAAGCCCAGCAAGCCCGTCAAGAAGAACCACGCTTGTGAGATGTGCGGAAAGGCCTTCAGGGATGTCTACCACCTCAACCGGCACAAGCTGTCCCACTCAGATGAAAAACCCTTTGAATGTCCCATTTGCAATCAGCGCTTCAAGAGAAAGGATCGCATGACCTACCACGTGAGGTCTCACGAAGGTGGCATCACGAAACCATACACCTGTGGTGTTTGTGGAAAAGGCTTCTCGAGGTACCATGTAGAAAATCCCAGGCGAGCTCAAGTATTGGCTTTTCATAACCAAGAAGGGTTAAGCTATCATAGCGAGGGGCTAGGAGAACCAGACATCTTAGAAGATTGGTGAGGGGATAAAGAGCCTTGTTTACCTCTAGGGCGTGGGTCTCGGTCTGAGCCAGATTGGCAGTGGCCAAAAGTGGTCGCTCTTTTATGAGAGCGTTGTGAAATGATTTCGCGACCTCATCCGGGTCCCATAGGACACGTGTCTGTGTCACTGGTGGTGACCACAGAGCCCCTTTACCAGCCTTTGCAAAGGTCAGTGACCGAATGGGGCATGGCAGGCAAACTGTCTCCTTGTCTCGTAGCAAGGTTGAGGCGTACTGACAGAGCATTGTGGGGGAGCTTGCATTGCTGCTGGCTGTATTTATTATATCTGTGCTTGCAACAGAGAAAACTTCAACCTTTAGAGCTGTTGATCTGTCACCTTTACACAAGGTACGACCAAACGTACCATTTTCAGGTGTGGAAGAACATGGTTAAGTTTTAAACTGCAGGTTGGGTCTCAGCATAACTATGTGTTACTCTAGCTGAAAGCCACTGCGTAGGTAAGGGGAATGTATTTATTCTTGCCGTGCAGAGGGATGTGGGCTGCAAGGGGTCATCAGCGCAGTGTTCAGCACCGCGAGCCACGCTATCGTTACTATGTATTTGTAACAGTATGCATTTTCTTTTCTGTTCCTCTCTTTTTTGCAGGCCTGATCATTTAAGCTGTCACGTTAAACATGTTCACTCAACAGAGAGACCCTTCAAATGCCAAGTAAGGGCTAAAATGATTTGTTAAGAACAATACCTTACTGTATCGTTAGAATCTCAGGTGAATAATCTTTCCAGAACTGTATTTGCTCCTGGACTTCTCTTTGAAAAGCAAGTTTAGGAATAAAGTCGCATCTGCCTTACATACCAGCAGCACTGTAGTTCTGATGTTAACTGTAGATAGAGGCAGTTTGAAAGGATGCTGTGGCTACTTTTTTTAGGAAGATTAGAGGCTTTTTGCTTTCTTGGAGAACAACGTCGGTGCTCTGTTTTACGATACGCTTAACTTAGTAGTGGGATTGTAACAGCATCCTCAGCTCAGTGCTAATTACTGGAGTAATGCGTGCAGTGTGTTTCTCAGAATATTTAAATTAAATGTGTTTCTCAGTATATCCATTTAAAATGGGTTGGAATAGTTGATTCTGGATCCGTTATTTTGCTGGAAGCTGAAAGCAAGTTGTCGTAAGTTGATGACTGAGTATAAGAGAAATAACTTGACTGCCCTTGAATAATTAACTGTTTTGCTTGGCATATACATGCTTGTTCCAACCTGTGTTTTAGTGACTCATCATATTAAATAAAAGTCTTGTGTAAAAAGAATAGCATTAGAAAAAGGTTTCATTTCCTTGTTCTGATTTGGATGGGAACAGAAGTAATTGAGCAATTTAAGATATCAGGTTCATATTTGTACAGTAAAATTGTATCAAAAAACAACTTTGCCTGTTCTAGGCTTTTTTTATAAGCTACCTCTTGCTTTGGTAGGTAAGGCAACCTGCTGTTTTAGGAAAGTTCAAGTAGTATAGAGTATGATTTTTGTCGTAATTGTCTCTGAAGCCAATTTCCATTTTCAGTCTCTGTTTAGTAGTTTGATTTTGGTTTCTCTATAAATACAGGTAAAACTTAAGGTTGTCAGTGTACTTAGGATACTGTTTGCACCTACAAGGTAAAATAGGCTTACAGTGGGCATGTAATTCATACTGTAATGATGCTGTCTGCAATTCAAGTGTAACTGTTGTCCTTCATATAGACGTGCACTGCTGCCTTTGCCACCAAAGACAGACTGCGGACACACATGGTGCGCCATGAAGGAAAGGTATCGTGTAATATCTGTGGTAAACTTCTGAGTGCAGCATATATCACCAGCCACTTAAAGACACACGGGCAGAGCCAAAGTATCAACTGTAATACCTGTAAACAAGGCATCAATAAAAGTAGGTGAACGTTTTAAAAACATTTCTAATAACAGTGTGTTTGCAAAGGGAATTGCCTTTGATTACGTTAAAATGCAAAACCGTACCCATCAGTCTGGGTATTCACACCTATTAAAAATAGATATTTGGTAACAGCATCTTCTTCAGTTCAAGAATTGGCATATGTGGAATTGGTTTGCTGCTAGACTGTGCTCTTATCCCTTAGGAATGCCCTGCAGTTTGTGGGAATAACCCATCTCTTGAAGAAAAGAGTTCCCAAGTTTTCTCATCTTCTGAGTACAATGCTACTTCCTGAACTGTACAGGCCTAAAAGTCCAGCAGATAATTCTGGAGATTTTAGAATATTTAAGAACTGCTAAGATCTACCAAGTTTCAGGTTTGAAGCCTCATCTAAAGCTCATCAAAATTAGGAGAAAGATTTCTCTGCTTTCTCTGAGCTTTGATCCTGGGGCTCAATGATTCCTCCCTCTGGCAGTAGCTGACAAGAAAAGCATTTAAATCCAGCCCTGATATGTTTGGGGCATTAATGGCATTTGACTGGTGGTGTGCAGGAGTTCAAATGAGATGTTTGTAATAGTTCCTTCTAGTCTTAAACTCTGTGGAAGTGCTGAAGTCTGAACCTGGGGGTGCCTAGTAAGCAAACGAAGACTTGACTTTCAAATCTTCCCTATTAAAATAACTGTAACTTAAGTTAACCCACATGGTTAGTGATATAAAATGGGTTTTCAGAAGAATCAAGAGGGAGAAGTAAGGAGTGTCTTTGGAAACTTTGTCCTTAAAGCCTTTTAAACAGTATTAATTTACAACATCTTTTCAGTTCCTGTTACTCCTGGATAATTGGAAGGTACCGGGAATGTCTAAAATGCCCGATTGTTGAGCTTAATATGAAATTTGGATGTGAAAGTATTTTTCAAGGTATAGGGTTACAGCTCTGGCTTCCCAAGCCAGTTTGGTGGTGCTAAGCCAGTTCACATGAGGCATTTACAGCAGTTGTTAGAGGTGGAAATGATGAGCCGTAATGTGGCCAGAGAGTAGTAACATGCTGTTCTGTGATGTAAACTGAAAATTTTAAGTTATACTTGCAATAAAAAGTAAAAAGGCTTTTTTTTTTTTTTTTTTTAATGGAGCTGAGGTTTAGAAAAAGCGGAATCAGCTAACCAGCTTGAATTCTAGAGACTCATTGTAGCCTTTTATTTCATTCTTCCTAAAACACAAACAAAATAATCAGAAAGGAATTTCATTTTTGGCATTGAAAACAGATGTTCCTGACTTACATTTTGGTTTTTAGCTCTTGGAAAAGTAGATTTATAAAGCACAGAATTAATTATATGGTTTTAAACACCTCTGTGATTTTTGTTCTTGGAATCCTGTGAGATTCCACACGCTCTTTATGGAAGAAGCCTTGGTGATCTCAGCAGAAAACAGTAACTTTCCAAGGTGAATTTGTGTTCTTACTTAATTGGCATAGCATGCATGAGTGAAGAGACCAGCAATCAGAAGCAGCAACAGCAGCAGCAGCAACAGCAGCAACAACAGCAGCAGCAACAACAACAACAACAGCAGCAGCAACAACAACAACAGCAGCAACAGCAGCAGCAGCAGCAACATGTAACAAGTTGGCCTGGAAAGCAGGTAGAGACCCTGAGATTATGGGAAGAGGCCGTCAAAGCAAGGAAGAAAGGTAAAACAAAACAATACTTATGGTCTTGGTTTTATAAGACTGCAGGTTGCAGTTATAGAGGGAGTTTAAGATGTCAGAAAAGGATGTCTTACGTGAAAATGTCATTCTCGATGTTAGAAGTAATAGCTGAAAACTAGCAGGGGGATAACATGACCAAAATTAGGCTGTTGTAAATGCACTCCTTATTACGTGCTTCCCTTTGGTCTCTGCGCTTGAATGTGTACGTAGCAGTCATCAATTACAAAGGGATGTTTGTGTCTGCTTCAAGGCAAGAGTGTTTTTTTTGGCTTGCATGTGGTTTTTAGCTGTGTTTATGCATATTTACCAGTTGTTAACTTGTGTGCATATATATATATATGTATATATACACACACATAACACCCTCTGTTGTTGCATCATCATCAGTTTGCATGTGGGTGCTTTCTGTGTCCCTTTCATCTTTTCTCTCACAATTTATTCCATTTGCTTTATCATCACGTAACTGTCTTTGCATAAAGTTTTCTAGAACTCATAGAACTTACTCTTCTATCCTTGTTGGGTTTTTTTCATTAGAAAATTAACTAATAAGTGATTGTGTTTTTCATTATTGCTAGCTCACAGCTTACATACACCTATGCTGCTGTAATTGAAGTTGAATAACTTCCTGTTGTTGGTCAATGTGTCAGTTTTGTAAAGAACAGATTGCTTCAATTTAGTGTCAGGAGTATAGTAGTTTAAAGTCTCCCGTTACTGCTAGCTTGTTCTTTTCACTACAGTTTGATTTCTGATGCCTATCACGTGACTCCCCAGGATTACATGTTTTAGAAGAAATTCTTAGCGACCACTTACTGTTTTTCACTAGCTGTTTCTAGTAATAAATGTTTTGGGCTCACCTTAATTTTTTTCTTTTCTCCTAAAATTCTTTTCAGTTTCTTCAATCTTTTTTTCTTTTCTAGGTCTTGTTTGTGTATTAGGCTGCTAGCTCCTTTCGCCTTGATTGTTATTGCAGTTGAATTGCGTTCTGTGATCAGACAGTATAGAAATAGCTTATTCATGTTAAAATGTAGTGATAACAGAAACGTTAAATATCATCAGGCCACTAAGTAGATAAAGCAAATGGGTGTCAGATTTAGAAAATCTCTGAGGATTTTTTTTTTTTCTGCTTGTTCCTTCCTATGTCTTGTTCTCTCTTCCCTTCCTTTCTTACTGAGATTATTCAATATGCTTTAACAGAAACAGTGTTTTTGGACAGAATGGTGGGTGAGGGAGGTGGGCGGGTAGAAGTGTTGTCAGACTGGTGATATTAGCTTAACTTAATTGGGGAAGGGGCATGGGGTGGGATGTGTCTTTGCATACTGCTGTGCTTGGAAGTTGAAGCTAGACCAGTCAGTGCCATGCCTATGCGCTACTCTTTTTCCATGCTGGTTCTCCTGTGCTAGTGCCACCTGTTGCGTTGGCTTTACAACACTATATATGGGATTTTTCTGATCTAATACGATTTATTTTCACAATTTTTTTTTTTTTTTACTCTTTCCCTTCCTTTCCACCCCTCCTAGATATGGACTTTGAAGAACCAACAGTAACCCTTGAATGGGGCTAATGTTGCTTTCAAAGTTAACTCTGTCTTGGTACATTTGTATTGCCCGAGTGGCAAGAGTGGACTCTTTGCTCCTGGCTTACCTCCTGAAACGTGGGTGTAGACTGAGCTTGGTGTCCTACCCTACAAATGTGGAATAAGACACGACTTAGAAGTGCCGTAACGTTGATCTAGAATATATTTTTGTCGGTTTCTCTAGCAGTCATCCCTTCCCTTTACCCGCGTCCACCGCCCCGCTTCTGTTTTTGGAGCCTTCTAGTATGGGTAGCCGGCAGGTGGTGCTGATGGATGCCTAGTGATCCCTCCGCTGTCCCGGACCGCCGGTGCCCGCTCCCCCAGTGCCCAGCCCTGCTAGAGCCCACCGGCAGCAGGGCTGGGCACTGGCTTCCTGGGTCTTCCTTGTTTGGCACTTAATTCCTGCTTACTGCAAAACAAAGTAAAAAAAAAAAAAAAAAAAAAAAAAAACAACCCGAAAACCCACAAAACAAAACAACTTGGTGTGGAGCTGTAGCTTATGTGAAAGCTGAGGAGATAATGGGGGTTGAAAGATGTGCTGACTGGGTAGCCTTGAAAATCGCTAAGTAGAAGTACTGTGATCAGTGGAACAATTTAGTAGCAATAATTAAGACTGAAATAAGCAGGTAAATATTGAAACGAGCTTTGCTTATCAGTCCCTAATAATGACTTTTTAAAACCTTCACAGAATGTCAGTTCACCTTTGAGAAGGCTATAGAGTACGTACCATTCGGTATGTACACTCTCTCCTCTATTTATAATGTTCCTCTTGGGAGGATTTTTTTGATTGTACGATACTGTTTTTATGAACATCGAAACCCTCTTTATAAGACAAGCTCGCTTGACTTCTCAGGAAAAAATACTGAATTGAAATGAACTGCATGAGAGTTTGTATTTCTTGTAGGCTATAGAATGTTAACAGTTTTAACTTACTAATAATTCCTAAAGAAAATTATTCCAGAATTTGTACCTGTTCTTGTTTGGTTCTTGTTTTTGTTTTTTTTTTTTTTTTTTTTTAAATCTTGTCCATGGTTTTTTATGTGTTAAAAACTTTTTGTCTTTTTATGTCTCATTTTTAGAAGCTGCTAACTTGTGCCAAACCTCCACTGCTGCTACTACGCCTGTGACTCTTACTACTCCATTCAATATAACGTCCTCTGTGGCTTCTGGGACTATCACAAACCCAGTCACAGTGGCAGCTGCAATGAGCATGAGAAGTCCAGTAAATGTATCAAGTGCAGTTAATATATCCAGTCCGATGAACCTAGGGCATCCTGTAACTATAACAAGTCCATTATCCATGACATCTCCATTAACGCTCACCACACCAGTCAATTTACCTACCCCAGTAACCGCTCCAGTGAATATAGCGCATCCAGTCACTATAACATCTCCCATGAACCTCCCCACACCAATGACGTTAGCTGGTCCGTTAAATATAGCAATGAGACCAGTAGAGAGCATGCCTTTCCTGCCCCAGGCCTTGCCCACGTCTCCTCCCTGGTAAAGAATTTCTAAACAGTATTAAAAAGGATTAAAATGGAATCCTTACCAGCAGTTCTTTTTTGGGTTTTGTTTGGTTGGGTTTTTTTTTTTGTTGGGTTTTTTGTTTCGTTTTTTTGTTTTGTTTTAGTTAATAATAAATTCAGACTAAGACACTGGGGCAACATGCACCATCAGAGACCATAGTCGCATCTTCCCCTGTTGATTTGGCTCATATGGTTCAAACTTGAGTTTCACTGGAGCACTTCATTTAAAGTAAGTTTTACCTTTTAGCTGACTGATGCTGAATTAGAGCAGATACTTATTTGCCAGAGTTTAAAAAAAAAAAAAAGTCATTAAAAAACAGTTTTATGTTTTATCCCCCAAATTATAACTTAGAAAATTATTTTAATCTAAACACTAGCAAAGACCCCTCTGTACCTTTTAACAGGGTGGATGGCTAATTTTAACTTGCCAGTCGTTAAGTCCACTGTTTCTGAGCTAGTGTAGAATCTTTGTCTGTGTTGATGTTTTTTTTTATGAGTAAATGCATTACAATGTTGTCATTTTAAAAAAAATGCATTTTGGAGAAAATATGCATTTTACCTTTGGGAATATGATAATTTCAGGCAGCATTCCCTATGGGAAAGGTGATACCAGCTCTGATATGCAAAGCATATGATAACTTATCATTCTAACTTCAACATATAATAGGGATTGTGACCTGATATTTGGAGATGTAAATATTACCCAACATATTACCCTAAGGGAATATAGCATTGTAGTCAACATTTTTTTTAAAAAAACTGTTATTGTTTGGTGAGAAACAGCCATGGCTGACAGAAGAGGAGTTGAAATGTATGTAAACATGGTCTCTCAACAGTCAGACCCCTATGGGACTCTTATCTAGGAGCAAAAGGAGTGCTTTGAAACTTAAGAAATATTGCTTTAAGCTGGAAGATTCTGGAGGCACTGGGTATGATTTTTATGCCCTCTGCCTCCCAATCAGAGCCTGCTGGTGTTACAGCAGGGGACAGACGTGTTAGTTGTTCACTAGAAGTTTTGTCTTATATTAAATTGTATACAGTTTTTATTCTAACCACTAACTAGGTAGGATGCCCCTCCAGGACAAGCAGAGAGCGTCTTTTAATTTCTCCCCTATTTCTTAATCAAGTGTTGTGCAAATCTGTTCAACTTTGTAAATATTTGCAAACATCATCATTTTTACGTTATTCTTCTATTGTGTTAACACATTTCTATCAATTTGTGGGAGTTCTGGGGTGATGGTTTGAACTATCCAGCCCAGAACTTCTCTACAAATGGTCACACATGTTTAAGCTACATGTGCTTTTTATTTCTTAACCTGTTTATCTGTACATAAAGTAGAAAGCAAAATCTAGGGAAACAGATATACTTTTTAGACTATCATGTCACATATTCACGTTTTTAAAACTTTGTTTAAAAAAAAACCACCCTAAACCCAAGACTCTACATTAAAAATAAATAAATAAAATTACAGTTGAGATGTTTTTATCTTAATGAAGTTGAAAGCTATGGAGATTAGCGTGTGCGCATTTTCACAGAGTGCTAGCAGGACTGACTAGTCAAAATGGACTGCTTCCGTTTCTACCCTGCCGTGTCAGTACAAGCAGTGATTGCCAGGCTGCTGGCTCAGGTGACAGGTATCTGTATCATTACGTGAAACTGTTCTAGGGGCTTGGACTACATAGTACAACAAAAACAAAAAAAAAAATAGAGCTTAGTGTAAAATAATTTTATAAATGATCTTTTGTACTTTAGGACATCAAATTGTACAACTTTTGTATATATAAAAGCTTAGGAACTTTCTGTTTAGCAGAAAGGAAACACATTCCTACACTTTTAATGTATATGTTTGTTATAATGTCCATGTAAACATATGCCCTATGTTTGTGCCTTTTAATTAGTTTGTCTCAATAAACAAAAATGTAGAGAAGAATATGTAGCTATGACTTTGTTACCACTGTTCTTACTCCAGATGTGTAGAGGTCTTCGTTTTTGCACTGTGTAGAGCATTGCGTGCAGGCAGCTGCATGACTTAGGCTGATACGGCCGAAACGAGGCATGTGAGGTGAATGCACCCCAGCAAAACTCCTTCCTCCCATAGCATAGAGCAGCTTGCGCTGGTGGGGCCTTGCATGTTGGGATGTGTAGTTTCCAAGCCATCTCTGTTACCCGTGGCAATGATACCAGTTTGCACCAGTTTCACATAGTAGGTGTAGCGTTCTGGATTTGGGTAAATTGCAGAGATGACCCTTAGATGAAGTTTGGGCGTCCCTGAGCTTAAAAAAACCCAAAAGCATTAAAAGCCAATATGAAAATGTGTACTAGAAGTGGTTATCTATGAATTACTTACAATAAACAGGTGTGAGACTTAATTGTATGTTGTCAATTACTGTAGTATTGACAGTGGGTCCTCCGTACAGCTAGTGTGCCCTGCTGATGTTATTTTTATCCCAGCAGAGTAGCAGTAGAATAAACACATTAAACACCGGCAAGGAAATTTTTCAACGTGACAGAGGCTTCCCAAACCACTAACCGTGGTGCTCTTAGCATGGGATAGGAAAAGGGCTGTTTCCTTTTTATTTTATGTTGGTTCTGCTCGAATGTACCTGGTTTATGTCCACAAAGCTACATTAGCTAATTGTCAACCTGTTTCATTTGTACTTGGGTAAACATTTGCTTTGTACTGTGTATAAATGGTTCCGAGGTGTGCTCCTCAGCTGTCTCAATACAGACGTTAATTTCACTTTGTAATGCCATCATAGGAAGTACATTAAGCTGTTTTTTTGACAAAGGAAAGCTACCTGCTCAAGTAGTTTATACGGCATGCAGGCTACCTTATAATCGGTAGTTCATCCACAGTATAACGAGGCAGTAAGTATGGGCAGCTGCTGTCGGGAGACGATGTATAGTTGCACGACAGCGATGAGTGATTTGTATGGCAACTTGTGTCATAGCAGCGCTGGGGAGTTAAGACTATAAGAAAATGGTGGATGTGAAGAACAGATGCTCCTGTTACACTGAGTTAGTTTCTATGCAGCTGATGCGCTTAGCCTAGTTTATTTCATGGAAACTTTTAAGCTGGATCTAGTCCAACATCCAGGGAAGCCTATTGCTGCTGCCGTTGATTTGAGTGGGTTTTATATCGAGCCCATTCAGGTCTCCGATTGCAAGTAGTTCAATAGGGGTTTTATTTTTTTCTTCTTAAGTTTCCATAAGCGTTCAGCATGAGGTTAATGGCTTAGCACCGACTGAAAGTTTGAAAGTTGAATTTTGCCTTGGAAGGATTTGTGCCGTGGAAAGTCAGAACAGTCAGATCAATGGCACGAAAACTCGTCCTCCGGGCAAGGAGAGCCTCCGGGTGCCTGGCTCTGTGCTGGCGAGGCACCGCGGGGAAGCAAGCCACGGGGAAGTAAGTATTGTGGCACAGCCACCCACGCTGCCAGGAAATTGTGTAAATGGTTTACCTTGGGCACGTTTTTTTCTTTATCTGGAGGACCCCACCACTTTCAGAGGGTGTTTGGGGTGAGTTGAAATTTGGGATTCGACCTTTTATGTCTTACCACTGGAGAGTTATGCCTCGGTGATGTAAACTGGGAAGATTTCAGTCAAGATCACGGATGAGAGAGAGAAACACGTGGTGTTCTGGGCATATGAGTTAAATTCTATTTGCCATTGTTCACAAATAAAAGATTTTTTTTCCCCTCTTACAATAACTTTTTCTTTAGAGTGGCAGAAGAAAAAAGTATTTAATGTGTGTGCATTTGTCCACGAGAGGTTTAAAGAAAAACACCAAAAACCCAGTAAGCTGTTTGAGCTGCAGCAATCCCAGGTTACATAAAGGGGCCGAGGTTGCCGAGGGATTAGGGTGGCATTACTGGTGGTGATAAGCCCTCCAAGTTCTGCTCGCTCTCCGCTCACTTTTATTTTAGAAACAGTCACTCTGAGCTGTATTTTGAAAACTGCTTGGGGTTAATTTTCAAGGCTGTCAGGGTTAGATTCCCACCAAAGAAAGAAGGAAGGAAAATTTGGACTTAAAGAACACTCAGGTTTTTAAAAGCATCCAGTACTCTGATATATTTTTTTTTATCTTTGGGGTCCCTGTATGGGAGCTGAGTTGTTGAGAAGTGGACTCCAGTTTTTCACTGCTGGGTCCTTCTGAAAACTCCTGCCTTGGTCTATTGGTGGCTTAGTTTATCCATCTCAAAAATAGATTTAACAGTATTTTCAAAAGGCAGCTATTAAAAGCACTTCAAGTTTTTAAATGCCTTTGAGGTCGGTCTCGGTGCTTAAGTGGACCTTTTTACTGGTGCTTTTCAGGATAAATAGCAAGTGTAAAAATAAATCTCTTCCTCTCCTAATTGTCAGGCAGAATAAAACTTAAAACTTGATCCCCTTCTACCTATTTGTTTAATTCAGCATGTTTATACTTCTTATCTTTGGATCATTCGCTCACAGCTTCCAGAGCAGCAACTGAAGGATGACAGAGGAACTACGTGCTAATTTTTATGTCAAAAATAGCTTTCACCTTTAAACGCACAAGGCTCAATGACTGTTTTCTAATTAGAAAAAGAATGCCTGAGCTTCTATTGCGAATCCATTTTACAGCTGTGTTCAGATTTGACTGTCAGCCCCTGGTTAAAATTTAGTACTGAGGTCTTGACCTAGAAACAAACCTTTTTTGGTATTGGTTTGGAAAAAGTATTTCAGTGCTAAGAGAAACTGAGCCAGGCTGTCCAGCTAGCTCCCTCATCACGGGCTGGCGAGAGCGTTAACGTCGCATCATTTCGTCGTACATTGCATCTCCCTGAAGCCCAAATAAAGACCGCCGGGAAAGGTGGGCTTATGATTTTTTAAAAATGATGATAGATTTTTTTGGTTCTTCAGGTTCCTGGGCTAATTTGAGTCATTTTTTTAAAAGTCCTGCGTTTTTCTTTAAGGAAGCATAAATGCTTTTTGAAAATGAGACATTTGTAAAACATTTCAATGTGGGCATCTGAAATTACTGCTTGCATCAGAGTACAGACCTCTGCCTTCCTTGCAAAGCCTTTCCAATAGCTACCTCCAAAATCAACCCATTTAGTAAAAAAAGAAGGGGCATTTTCAGAACGTAAGGCACCTTTTGTTTTTCAGAGAAGGCAGAAGTACTCCATTCACCTTTTCACTTAGTTGTTCTCGCCAGCTGTTAAGATGAAAACATTTGTGTTCTGTGTTTTCTGTGCAAGGTTTGTTTTTCAGGGAATTGCCAATTTAGCTGGAACTGGCTCAATTAAATTCGATATTTTAATTCTTCATAGCTGTGTATTTCTATTCCCCTTTCTTTTTACTTCCTAGCGTCATTAGCAGCTAAGACCCATATCAAAGGACAGTAAAGAAATTTCGTAAAATCGCCTGTTTCCCTCAAAACAAGCCGGGACTAGGAAAAGAGATTGCAGTCAACAAAGCTCACTGCAAGGTGCTGTGTCACAGAAGAGATGCTGATCTGCGTTTAACTTTGGGAAAGCAAATGTTGTGGCACGTGTACTTGTACGCGCTGAAAGCCGAAGGTTTGCCTCTAATGTTTTCACTCTTACTGATGTCTGTGTTCCTTGTCAAAGCCTTACAGATTTTTACCCAGGCTAAGGATCGCTTAGCTGCCAGACACGGATGAAACGATTTGAGTGGGAAAAAACCTCTGCATGGAGGGCCGTCCTGCGAGAATTTTGGACCATCCCAAACGCGTGCTCGGGGTCCGGCACCCACAGACGTGCTTCCAAGCTGGTCTTGCTGGCCGCGGCAGGGTGCTGCGGGAGGCCGGCTGCAGGTGCCCGGAGGTGCGGCGTTCCTCCCGCATCGTGTCCGGAAGGGTTTGGATTGCTACGAGGGAAGCGGAGGCCCTGACCTGCTGCCGTTTGCGGTCTCGCTCTGGTCTCTGCAAAACGGGAAGTGTTTGCCCTGTGTAAATTGGCTCCTGTAATTTGTAAGAGGAGATCACTTCCCGTCCTGTTACGTGGTATGGCTGCAAGCTGTCAGACGCTGTAGCGCTGGATACCGGAGACGGCTGCTTTCTATCTGTGGTCGAAGTGATGCTTTGTTATAATCCGTCTCTCGTGTTCAGCCCTTGGGGCAGGAGGGCCGTGTCCTCTTCCTTACCCCAGGGGTGCGCGGGGCTGGTGGGCCGAAATCCAGGAGCCGGGGATGCTCAAAAGGTGTGGAGGAGACCAAAAACCAGCCCCAGAAAGCAGCTCTCCTCGGGATGCTGGCCAGAGGTGCCTGACCCCACAGCCGGGGAGGGCGGGGGGTGGCTGGGGAAGCCTGGGGGGGGTCGTGGGGGATCCTGACCCCCCCCGGGCCCCAGTCAGGGGCCGTCTCACCCCCAGAGCCGGGCAGACCCAGGGTGGCGGCGGGTCAGGCCTCCGTGGGGACAGAGGGAACCGGGCGATGCCAAGCCCCCTCGACACCTCCAGCCGGGCCGAAACGCTTCCCCAAGGCGGAGAGATGCCCCGGCCCGGGTGGGACACGGCCGCACCGCGTGCGCGTGTGTGTGTGTCACCCGGGGGGGGCTACCCAAGAGCCCCCCGACCCCGTTGCCTTTCAGCCCGGCCGCCGCTA